TTTCTTGGAGGAAGAGATGCAGAGCAGGTTGTGAAGGAAGGGTGGAAGCAGGGGGCGTTCCAGCATGGAAATCACCATATGGAAAGGCACAAGGCATAAAGGGTCATTCACACTTGACGAGACTTGTCTGGCTGCACGAATGTGAATGGTGAAAGTGACAGAAGACAGAAAGTGACAAAAGAAAGACCGGAGGGCAGTACACACACGCTGGTGCAAGGAGTCACCGAGAGGTTTTAAGGTGAGAAACAGCATGATCAGATTTGTTTTTCACAAAAGCAGAGATGGAAGGGCGGAGGGTGGGAGGAGGGAATCTGTAGTCTGAGAGACCATTTAGGAGATTCCTGCAAAAGTCTCCACAAAGGCCAATGGTGCTAAAACTACAGCAGCAGTGTTGAGGATGGAGATAAAAGAAATGTCTTGACTGAGTAAGAAGATCCCACTTTTCAAAACTCTGCTCCAGTATCACTTCCTATGGAAAGCATCTTTTTGAGGATAAAATAAAAAAGGAAAAGGGAATTTTTAAAGACTCTCTTTCTCTCTCTCTCTCACAGACACACACACACACTCTCTCTCCTTTCTCTCTCTCTCTTTCTCTAATACTTTCAGGTATGGCTGTATCCAGAAAGCAAACCATGTGATTAATGTGGTTAGACAAATTCATTCTGTCTTCATCTCACAGCTCTGCTCTCTTCTGAATTAATATTATTTTTAGGTCAGTTCTTTGCCCAGGGTGTCCCTCAGCAGTCACAGGCTTAAATAAGCCTAAACACCGCCAACCAAGAGGAGAGGCCCATGGTTCCAACAAGACTCACTCCCCCAGGAGGGGATGCTATGTTTCCATGGGCGAGCCTGAGCTGATTGTCTGCTGCTGGAACTGGAGATAGGGCCACTCCTGCACATGACACAGAGGGGACCGAGGGGGCAGCTGGTTCCTCAGGGCAAGCTTGAGCGCTGCTACCAGAAAACGAGGAATGGATGCTAGGCAGACAGACGTGTAGAGTTCCACCATTGCTTTCTTCTCTCGAATTGATAAGGGGGAAGAACATTTTCAGTGACTCCTCCCCAGTTCCAGAGTTTCTGCCTAACTAGCACCCAGCTGGAAGAGAGGTAGTCTTACCGCATCCCTCAATCCTAAACACCATCAGCTGGTACTTCTCATCCTCAGTCCAGTGAGAGAAGCCTCCATATCCTCAAGTTCCACAGAGGCTGAGAGCAGGGAGCTAACTTGCTCCGGGGTGATGCTGTGGTGCAGGCAGGCATAGGAATATTGGATAGTTGTGTCCCATATGCTTCCTGTGTTCTGACCATAGCTGAATAATTAATGTTCCTGGAGCACACTATGTACCTGCAGGCCGCAGTGCTTTGCTCCTCCTGGTTCCCTCCTGAAGACAGTTTGCCCTCTCGCTTCGCAACTGACAAATACGCCGCTGCCTCCTCTTCCCCTTCTGTCCCCTCAGCTCTGGGCCTGAAACGGCTTTCTTGTATTTTCCTCACACAAATCTTGTTCAATGCTCACTCGTTTATTACTCCCTTACCATCATGTGTGCCACTTTTTCCCACGGGACACACCATTTTATAATTATTTAGTATGTATTTTTCCCCACTGAACTAACTCTCGGCTCCCTGAGGCCGAGACTGTGTCTTTCATCTCTACATACTTAACACAGCTGTATGGTACAGGGCAGTGACTATACTTATTGAAGTAATATTTTGAATACCAAAATTTCACATTATTGGTGACTTTTCATAAATTATTGTCTGACATTAGGATTACCCTTTGATAAAAGACTTATATATAGATGATTCAATACAAGGACAATGAATAAAGTATCTCCTATAATTTACTTCCATAAAAAATTCTCTCTTATATGAACAACTTCATAATACTCCTTCTTGTTATTAGAAAATAAAAACTATATCAGCCACCATCACTCCACTAATACCTCAGCTACAGGAATCAGGCTAAACATCATGCCAAATGTGTACCCTCAGGGTTACATGGTCTGCCGATTCCCTCTAATATCTGATGTATACATAGGTATGAGAGTTATTAAAAGGCACCTTCATTTTGGAAGGAAACAGGAACACAGAGCACTGGATAAAAACAGCTATTATTATTATTATTACACAGCTATTATTATTATTATTATTATTCTGAGATAGAGTCTAACTCTGTTGCCCAGGCTGGAGTGAAGTGGCATGATCTTAGCTCTCTGCAACCTCTGCTCCCAAGTTCAAGCGATTCTCCTGCCTCAGCCTCTTGAGTAGCTAGGATTACAGGTGCCTGCCACCACGCCTGGCTAATTTTTGTATTTTTAGTAGAGACGGGGTTTCACCATGTTGGCCAGGCTGGTTTTGAACTTCTGACCTCAAGTGATCTGCCAGCCTTGGCCTCCCAAAGTGCTGGGATTACAGGCGTGAGCCACCACGCAGGGCCAACAACAGCTATTATTATTATTCAGGGTGGAACTTAGGCATTGTTTCGCTTAGTTAACTCAACAGTCATGTTTTTGCTTATTGTGCAGTGAAGAATATGCTTCCTTTGCCAACCATACCCAGAGCTGGCTCACAGTGGGAGCTAACTAACTCTCTCTGTACCTGACCCATCCCAGAACAGAGCCTGAACCTCTGCCCTCTGCCTCCTCTTCTTCTTCACAGCATCACTTTATAAATCAATACAAATGATCAGCCTCTTGGGACCATCATGCATTATCTCTCAGCTGGGAAAAAATTGTCAACTCAAGTTATAAAGTATCTTTATAAATTTAACAAGAATGAGATGTCCAATGATGGTGATGAGAATGACAGCTAAGAATTATATACTGACTACTATGTGAGGGGCACCATTCTAAGTGCTATCCAGATATTTACTCATTTGAATACCATAACAATCTATGTGGCAGGTTACTACTATCATCATCTTATGATGACAGGTAAGAAAACCGAAGTACTGAGAAGTTGGGTAACTTCCCCACAGGTCTCACAGCTGGTAAGTAGTGGGGTTGGAATTTTAACCTACATATTTAGGTCCAGGGTCCATGTTTTTAGCCACACAGCTATATGGCATATATAGAAATAATTCTGGCCGGGCGCGGTGGCTCACGCCTGTAATCCCAGCATTTTGGGAGACCGAGGTGGGTAGATCACGAGGTCCGGAGATCAAGACCATCCTGGCTAACACGGTGAAACCCTGTCTCTACTAAAAATACAAAAAAATTAGCAGGGTGTGGTAGCGTGCGCCTGTAGTCCTAGCTGCTGGGGAGGCTGAGACAGCAGAATTGGCATGAACCCGGGAGGCAGAGCTTGCAGTGAGCCGAGATCGCGCCACTGCACTCCAGCCTGGACGACAGAGCGAGACTCCATCTCAAATAAAAAAAAAAAAAAAGAAAAGAAATAATTCTGAGATGTCTACAATCAAAAACTGTCTGAAACCTTTAAAAGAGAAACCTAGTGACTAAAAGTATGACCTTATGCCTATCTTCTTATATTCTTCTTAGGCTCATGGCCATAGGTGATAATCAACACCTCCTGAGCAATAATGTCCCACAGAGGCCATAACGATAGTGAGGAGTGGGGGCTGTAAGGCAAGACAGACAGAGCAAAGCTCAAACTCCCACTCCACCAGATCCTGGCAGGGGACACCTGGTATGTTATTTCATACAGCTGGCACAAAGCAGGATGGCTGCAGGGGCCACAGTTTTCCCCTGCTGACCACCTCTGTGCCATACCCCATACAGCTTCCTGTGAGAAGTGTCCCCTATTCGCATACCTAGAACGTGTGTTTGTATGACCCCTCCTTCTTGGTCAGAGTAACTGGTTTCAGCCAGGCCCTTGACCTAAACTGCAGCAGCCACAGCATCTCACTGCTAGGCAAGGGATGGGCATAGGCTCCAGGCTAGGCCAGAGTCACCACCTGATACTCTTCTAACTGGAGCTGGGAGTAAAGAAGCTTTCCTTTCTAGTCAGTCACAAGGCTGTGAGGACTGAAGCCTAGAGCCAGCAGGGACCTGGGCACCAGGACATTTGAGAGAATGGAGCCAGCATATAGAGGGGCCCCAAGACAAGATAAGACACAGAGAGGTCTAACAGTACTAGAGTCCCTGGTTCTAGTCTGTCCCCTCCCCACTCCAAACACACCAGCTACTTTAACCACCTGGCAGGGAGAAAAAAACTGGCTTAGGCTTCTGTCACTTCTAACTAGATGAGTCTAACTTTACCTCTCCGAAACTCACTTTCCTTATCTGCAAAACAGGGAAAATAAAATAACCCTTCCCGCCCAGGTGGTGGTTTTTTTTTTTTTTTTTTTTTTTTTTGAGATGGAATCTCACTCTGTCGCCCACGCTAGATATAGTGCAGTGGTAAGATCTCAGCTCACTGCAACCTCTGCCTCCTGGATTTAAGTGGTTCTCCTGCCTCAGTTTCCCACGTAACTGGGACTACAGGCATGTGCCACCACGCCTGGCTAATTTTTGTATTTTTAATAAAAACAAGGTTTTGCCATGTTGGCCAGGCTGGTCTCAAACTCCTGACCTCAAGTGATCCGCCTGCGTCAGCCTCACAAAGTGCTGGGATTATAAGCGTGAGCCATGGCGCCCGGCCCCCAGAGAGTTCTGATGGGGAAATGCAATCTGCACTGTCAGTACTTTAGCGTGTGTCCTATGAATAGGAAGACTCCACAGCTGTTGGCCAACAGGTAACAACACCTACAATAGCATTCACCTTCCAACAGACTGCTGCCAAAGACTCTGGAGTTCTTCCTGACTTCGCTGTGTCAAATCTGATGTAACAGCTTGTACTGCCGGTTGTAACTTCCAACTTTATCTAAAATCCAACCACATCTCACTATTTTGTTTACTATTGTTCTGCACATAGCAGTCACAAACAAATATCTGTTGAATTAATGAATGAATATGTCCTCAAACCCTTTTTCTGGAAGTTGGGGGCAAACATGAAGCAGAAAAAATATGTGGAAATCTCAATATGAAATTTTTTGCACTTACTTGGCACAGCGTACCCAGTGTGTATGTCGATACAAAGAATACAGGAAGCGCTGGCGATACATGCTCCATACTTTTATGGATTTGTCTTCAGAAGCTGTAGCTAGAAACTGGCCATCAGCTGAAAAGTCTACACTTCGAACTGGAGCTGTATGAGCTTTAAATTCTGAGAATTTTCCTCTCCTGGAAATAAACAGTTTAATATTTATAACCCATTTAATTTAATTATAGTTAATACTTAATCATAATACAGACTTTGAAAGATATAAAATAGTTTAAATAAAATCGTTTAACTCTTGTAAAACCTAATAGAAGTATGAAAGGGCTGTGTTGTACTGTACCCTTCATCAACACTGAAATTTCCATGAAATTTCAGGTGTTGAGAACTGAAGGGCAGAAAAGAATAGAAGAAAAGATGGAGAAAATAATGTGAGGCATTTGAGAAGCAGAAAATCTTAAAATGGAAGCAGGCTAGATAGTGTTGGAGTTGCAAGGTGATATGTGGTAAATGCTACTTTGTGTCAGTGTTCCCAAGTTCCCAGGGCATTTTCACCTTACATTGTATCTAGGACTTAGTAATTTTCCCGTTTAGAAAATCATATTGATACTCAAGATACCCTATGGGGAAAATTGTCATAAGTGCTTGAAAACGTCAGGCAACAGAATTTAGATGGCCACAATATATGTGTCTCAGATGTTCAAATGTTCACACTGATCTCCCATACACCTGCACCTCGTCCTGTATTTTGCTACCTTGGCTGGTCAGAGTGACATCCGCCTGTGTCCAAGCCAGAAACCTGGAAGTCACACTCAACTCTTCCCGCGTCCTCTCCCACATCCAGTAAGTTAGCAAACCATATCATCCTCACTTCCTAAATATCTTCTGAATCCTCCTCTTCTGTGTTGGCTCTGCTTGCCTTAAGGTAGATATATCCTTAACATCCTTCACCTAGGTTATTGCAAAAGCCTCTTAACTGGTCTCTCTGCTCTAATCTTTTGTCCCCTGCCAGTCACCTACATATTGTGCTTATTACCTTGCTAAGAGCGTAACTCCAAGCATGTAAATCCCAGTGTAAATGTGTCACTGGCTCTTCTCCAAAAGAAAGCACAATGCTCAAGTGCGTTGGTGAGGCATCCTGCCACTCACGCTGAACTTTGTACTTGGAACAGTCACGGCACTTCAAACACACCCCTGCCTTTGCACTTACTGCTTTCTCAGGATGGACTATTTCCCCCATCCCCAGACCCCCCTGGCCAAGCCAGACAGGCTTAATGGCCCCATATTTGCTACAACAATTTTGCTTACTACATTATACAGTGACTTTTTAAAGAACGATTTGTCTCCTCTTATGCAGTACATTTTTGGAGAACAGGAATGATGATTTATTCATCTCTATAAGACCAGCATCTAGCAACATGTCAAGCACATAAAAAGAACTCAATACATGTTGAATTCCACTTGGAACAGTCAACAAAGGCTTGTAGATCCAACCTGGCTTACCCTTCCAGTGGTCTGTAGGGAGCAAAGGTGACTTTATCATAAATTTCCGTCACCTGACATGTGATATTACTCCGGAAAAACTGAAATACATATTAAACAAAAATTAGAAGGGAGCATCCAGGGACTGGCTCAGTGAAGTTTCAAGGGTAAATTTCATGAGTGGAAATCAGGAGTATAGTTTAGCCTGAATCCAAGTATAATGCCTAGCGAAAACAAAGGAAAGAAAAGGCATCTGCAATGACCAGGAAGCTGAGATGGGCTGTCAGTATCATCAAAATCTGCCCTGATTTTTAGTTCTGCACTCCGCACTCCAGCAGGCTGTTGTTTGCCTCCTTTCTAAAAGGCTCTCCTCTCAGGCATAGGCTAAACCAAGCACCGGATCCAGTCTCAACAGGAAACAGAAGAAACCAAGATAGGAGTGCCTTGTGTTTATCGTGCTGGTGCCTAACTGGTTTCCAGTTCCTCATCTTGACTTAATATAGGCTCTCTGCCTCCTACATATTTACTTGCCCTTTCAACTAAATTCTCTTGACTGCTCACTGTGATGAACTCTGGGCCAGACTTGCTTTCAGGCTTGCTCCTACCTATTCTTTTCTTATTTATTCATTTTTTTGAGACGTGTTCTCTTTCTATCACACATGCTAGAATACGGTGGTGCAATCACTACTCGCTGCGGCTCAAACTCCTGCACTCAAGAGATCATCCCTCCTCAGCCTCCTGAGGAGCTAGGACTGTAGGTGGGCATCACCACGCCCAGATAATTTTTTTATTTTTAATTTTTTATAGAGACAGGGTCTCGCTGTGTTGCTCAGGCTGGTCTTGAACTCTTGGCCTCAAGTGATCCTCCTGCCTCAGCCTCCCAAAGTGCTGGAATTACAGGTGTGAGCCATGCCCCCAGCCTCTCCCTATTCTTTCTTAGCCTTCTGGTCACCAGCTGTGGTGTCTATCTGCAAATATGGTTGCCAATACTCATCTCATCCCTGTACATGCATGTCTCTCTGCGTCACAGGAGGTGGAGTCTGTTTATTTCCCCTCCCTCTGAGGGGAGGTGTTGTGACTTTTGAGGGGAGGTGTTGTGACTCATCTCATCCCTGTACGTGCACGTCTCTCTGCTTCACAGGAGGTGGAGTCTGTTTATTTCCCCTCCCTTTGAGGGGAGGTGTTGTGACTTTTGAGGGGAGGTGTTGTGACTCATCTCATCCCTGTACATGCATGTCTCTCGGCTTCAAAGGAGGTGGAGTCTGTTTATTTCTCCTCCCTTTGGGCTGGTGTTGTGACTTTACTTTGAGCAACAGAAAGTGGTAGAAGTGACACTGCAAGTTTCAGGCTTAGTTCTTAATTGGTCTAGCAGCTTCTGCTTTGATTCTCCTGGAACCCAGCTGTCATGCTGTGAGAAAACTACAGGTTATCGTGCTGGAGAGAGGGCACATGGAGAACCAAGATGCCATTGCCACCAGCCCGCACCAAGGCCCCAGGCATATGAATGAGGAATGGAACCCATCTACCCATCTGCCAGCTCTATGAAGCTGCATGAGTAATCTCAGCCTGCACCATATAAGCAAAAGAACCATCCAGACAACCCACAAAATTGTGACAAATCATTGTTTCTACAGTAAGGTACTAAGGTTTTGCGACTGTCATACAGCAATAGATAACTGACACATCATATTCCTTCCCGTTGCCACGATCCACCATTATTGCTCTGTTCCCACTATGGCATGATTTAGAAAGAGAAACTAGGGACACCTACACAAGCCTAATCATTGTATTTAGATGAGCTATGACAAATTAATGATTCAGTGAGCTTTTAGCTCATCTACCCTTATACAGTTTGTTCACTGAGATTTCTTTGAATTAGTAATGGGAGACTAAAGTTATGCTGTGCTGAAGATAGTAAAAAAGCTAGTTCTAAATTCCCAAAGTTAAGGGTTTTACAACATGCTTCTCCTCTTGGACCCCAAACCAGTTCCTTCTCCCTTAAAATTCCCTGCTACATTGCCATCCATTATAACATGTCACTTCTCTTCAATAGTTTCACTACCATTGGAATAATATTCAGATTTCTCAGCATAGAGTTCCCCTTGGGTGGTGGCAGAAAAAAAGCACCCACTGGCATGGGAAGGCCCATGAGCTTTCCTTCATTTGGGAGTACCTGGGCCTGTTTAGTCACAGACTACAAGTCAAATCCTGCCACAACAGGGTCAAGGAAATGCTCAAATTCTTATCTTCTGAAGCAGTGGTCCCCAACCTTTTTGGCACCAGAGACCAGTTCCATGGAAGACCATTTTTCCATGGGACCAGGGAGTCAGGGAGAAGGATGGATGATTTGGGGATGATTCAAGTGCATTACATTTATTGTGTACTTTATTTCTATTATTATCATTATTATTGAGAAGGAGTTGTGTTCTTTTCTGCCCAGGATGGAATGTAATGGCACGATCTCGGCTCACTGCAACCTCCACCTCCCCGGTTCAAGCAATTCTCCTGCCTCAGTCTCCCGAGTAGCTGGGATTACAGGTGCGTGCCACCATGCCTGGCTAATTTTGTATTTTTAGTAGAGACAGGGTTTCACCATGTTGGCCAGGCTGGTCTCAAATTCCTGACCTCAGGTGATCCACCTGCCTCGGCCTCCCAAAATGCTGGGATTATAGGCGTGAACCACCGCGTCCAGCCCTATTTCTACTATTATTACATACTCACCATAATGTAGAATCAATGGGAGCCCTGAGCTTGTTTTCCTGCAACTAGATGGTCCCATCTGGGGTGATAGGAGACAGTGACAGATCATCAGGCATGAGATTCTCATATGGAGCATGCAACCTAGATCCCTCACATGCACAGTTCACAACAGGGTTTGTGCTCCTGTGAGAATCTAATGCTGCCGCTGATCTGACAGAGGGCAGAGCTCTGGCCTGGTTCCTAACAGGCCATGGACTGGTACTGGTCGGTGGCCCAGGGCTTGGGGACCTCTACTCTGAAGTATTTATGGGGGGAAATGATATGATATGTAGGATTTGTTCTAAAAATACCCCAGGGGAAAAAGTGAGGGGAGGTGTAGATGAAATAAGATGGGCAGAATCCTGACAACTGTTGAAGCTGATTGATGGGAGTATGTGGCGGAAGAGTCATGCTATTCATTCTATTTTCATGTATGTTTGAAAATTTACATACTTTAAAGCTTAAACCCATTTTAAAAAATCATGGCTCAATAATTACTTAAAATAGATGGGCCATTAGTTAGGGTTTGAAAAGTCTCTCTTACAGAGATTTTTATAATGGATATTGCCTTGCACAAATGCAATGATTTATACTTTTGTCAGAAATTTTCTTTAACAAGAAAATTCTGGACCCTGATAATGAGTGATACAAATCAAATCAAAGGCACAGGGTTTTCAATAGGGATCCAAGGGCCCTTGAAGGATCCATGAATGTGCATTAGGAAGTTAATAAACTGTGAATTTTTGGTTATACAAACTGATGTGTATCATTCTGGGGAGACAGTCTAAAGCTTACCTCAGATCTACAAAGGGATTGATAGCTACCACTCCTCCCTCAAAAAAACTTAAGATGTATTAAGCATATTTCCATGGTAGGAAACAGTTTTCAAAAAGAAGACATAATTTTGAGGAAAAAATTGTATGAATTAGTTTGACTTTACCACAAGGGCAGCATGCCTTGTATGTGACTGAGACTAATAGTGTGGGCAGCAGTGCATGAGCAGCAGCCAGGCTCAGCTTTCTTTCACATTTCCAAATCCAGAGGATATCAAGTGTTTCTTTGTTTCTCTTACTTATCAGGAATCCAGAGTCTCACGGTTCTGTCTCGTGAGGCAGATGCCAATAAGTTTCCATGTGGAGAAAACTGCACGCTGGTTACAACATCCTTGTGACCCACATATCTGTAAGCTCTAGCATGTGGCTTGAAATTCCATAGCATGAGAAAGGTGTCCCAAGAAGCAGTAGCTATCAAGAAATAGAAGAACAAAACCACTGTTTGTTAAAATGCAAACACAGGTGTGTCTCATTACAATGAGCAGCGTATCTAATAACAAGGCGTCCAGGTAATAGAGGGGCTGGAGGTTGTGAGGCTGACCAGGTAATAGCCAAATTACTTTTTAAAGGTACTCAAAACTATATCACTAATATGCAAACTTGGCTGTGTCCTATGTAAGCACATAGCAGGATGACTGGCCCCCATATTCGATTAGTGCTCAGTAACTGTATTTACCAGAAGGCCGCAGCATAGTATAACAGAGGTACACGGGACTAAGAGTCCGTTTTGTTTCTAACTCTGGGTAATGGAAAGCTAGTTAACCTCTGTGTCATGATGTCATGAGGACTGAATGTTTTTCCTGGGAGGGATGGATGAGATAATTTTTCAAACTGTTTATGTGGAAATAATTTCACACTTACAGAAAAGTTACAAGAACACTACAAATAACACTGATATGCCTTTTACCCAAATCTACTTGTTAATGTTTTGCTTCATTAGGTTTGTAATTTGCTCTGTATTTGTTTCTCCTTGTACATGAACACACATAAACCCACACACACAAACACATACATATTTTTTTTTCCTGAACCATTTAGGAGTAAGTTATACAACTCACAGCATTTTTATTCCTAAATACTTCAGTGTGTTTTTCCTAAGATTTAGTATAGTCTCTTAACACACCCACAGCACAGTTATCAGCTTCATGAAGCTGATTATTAAAGATGCAATATTTTAATATACTAACTATATTTATCAACTGATCCAGTAATACTTCTATAGCTAGATAAGATGATCTTATTAGTCTCTTTCTGCTCTATAATTTAATGGCATTTGATGATTAATAAAAGAATTAATAAAAGAATCATGTGTGTCAGACAACAGCTTACAGATTTAAAAAAAGGAAAACAAATGCAATCAATGGTGGAAATAATTGCCTTGACAAAGAATGAACAAATAAACAAATGAAAGGTATATCTAACCCTTGCCTAAAAAACAAATTTTATTTTATGCATGTAGCCCTAGAATAGCCCCAATAATAGGAAGTAGGTCAATGAGAATCACTGAATCTGGATTGTAGAGTGCTTAGAAAAAAAATGTAATGTTATAAACTTGAACACAATTAGTATCACTGTTAGAGAAAACATAGGGCCTGGCTACATAAAGTCACTGAAACCTATGTTCTTTTGCCAACATAAAAAGTTCATTTGGGCTCAGCCTATGCATTATTTCCATGTAAAACAGTTAAAGTGAGTTCAGCTACAATATTGCTTAGCACCCCCTTTTTAAAAAAGTTAATATTCCACCAGAGCTTATCCACATTACTAAAGATTTATAGCAGAGTCGGAATTATCCAAGGCTAATGTAGACAAAGCAAGGAAAACAATGAGTTATCATATGTAATAAACTAAGGACACTACTTCAGTTCTGTGCATCATGCTGCAAACGAGATATACAAAAGCAAATAAGATACAATCCCTTCTCTCAAAGAATCACATAGTAGGGAAGACAGCATTAATAATACACAGATACAGAGGACTTTTACATATTATTTATTCATTAATGGTGGGTGGGGTGATTGCGTGGTCCATTCTGAGGAAAGGACATTTGAGCAGAGAGGTGAGTGAAACGGAGAGTGATCCTAGCTGAGACATGGAGAAAGAGTACTCTGAGCACAGGAATCCCTGTGCAAAAGCACCTGGAAGAATGAAGAATGGCAAGGAGGTCAGTGTTTCCCCAGTAGAAGCGAGAGAAGAGACCGGTAGGAGGGAAACCGAAAAGGGGGCAGATGGAGGAGGAAAAGCCATGGTGGGAGGTGTGTCTTCTTCTAAAGTGCCATGTGCCATTATCCTAAGTGAATTAATGCGGGAACAGAAAACCAAATACCATATGTTCTCACTTATAAGTGAGAACTGAACATTAGGTACACTGGACATAAAGATGACAACAATAGCCACTGGGGACTACTAGAAGAGGGAGGAAAGGAGTGGGGAAAGGTTTGAAAAACTATTGAGAACAATGCTCACTACCTGGGTGATGGGATCATGCAGTAAACCCATGTAACAAACCTGCACATGTACTCCCTGAATCTAAAATAAACGCTACAATTATTAAAAGAAAAAAAAAAACCTGCGATGGGAAACTACTCTAGATTTTGAGCAGGGGGAATCTCATGATCTGGTTTAAGAATACTGTCACTTTGACAATAAGGAAAGGATTTTTTTAAAAAATGTGTTCTCAAAGGAGAGTAATACATTATAAAAAGAAATAAAAAATAAAACAATTGTGGTGAGTCAACTGGATATTCATAAGGAAGAAAATTAACCTTGACTCCTACACTTTATACCACATACAAAAGTTAATTCCACGTAGAACATAGATCTAAACGTGGTACGTAAAACCGTAAGCTTTTAGAAGAGAACACAGAATATCTTCATGGCCTTGGGGTAGGCAAAGACTGCTTTAAAAAGACATTAAAGTTAATAAGTATAGAGGAAAAGAATGACAATTTGTACTGTACAAAAATTAAGAAGTTTTGTTCACTGAGAGGTACCACTAACCAAGTAGGAAAGCAAGCCACCGAGTGGCAAACAAGATATTTACAACACATATATCCAACACATAACAAAGTATGTATATACAGAATCTATAAAGAATGCTATAAATCAGCCAGGTACAGTGGCTCATGTCTGTAATCCCAGCAATTTGAGAGGCCAAGGTGAGAGGATCGCTTGAGGCCAGGAGTTTGAGACCAACCTGGGCAACATAATGAGACTCCATCTCTACAAATAAAATAAAATATAAAAAGAACGCTACAAATCAATAAGAAAAAGGCACACTACCCAACAACAACAACAACAAAAAGGCAAAGGACTTAAACAAGTACTTTGCAAAAGAAGATACCCATATGGCCAATAAACATATGAAAAGGTTCTCAATTCCATTAGTCATCAGGAAAACGTAAATTAAAACCACAATGAGATATCCATGCACACTCATCAGAATGATTACAATGAAAAAGATAAATAACACCAAATCTTGGTGAGGATGTAGAGTAACTGGAATGCTCATATACTACTAATGGTTATAACCACTTTGAAAATCTATTTTGAAATATCTATTGAAACTGAATATATACTTAGTATTTGATTCAGCAATTCCACTCCTAGAAATATACCCACAGAAATTCTTATGTATGGTTAGCAAAAGACATGTACAATGTTTGTGGCAATACTATTCACAAAAGATCAAAGTCAGAATCCCAACTATCCGAGTAAAATGAATACATAAATTGCGATATATTCACGTTGTATACCTACTGTGTTAAATTTTACTTATATGGAAGTTTAAGAAGAAGCAAAATTAACCATGAAGTTAGAAGCAAACATTGTGATTATGTGGATGGCAGGGAGGGAGGATAGTGGCTGGAAGGGAACACAAGAGGGGATTTCTGGAGATACTGGTAATGTTATGTTTCTCACTCTGGGTTTTGGTTAAATAAGCAGGTCACATTCTAAAGATTCATCAAGCCGTACAGTTACATTATTTCTGCAATTTTTGGAACATATCAATGCTTCAATAAAACGTTTAGGAAAAAGCAGAAAACATCACTCTAGCTGTTGTGTGGAGAAGACACAAGGGGCAAGGGACAGATCTATTAGGAGGGTACTGCAATCATCCAGTCAGGAGAAAGCAGTGGTCTGGACTAGGCTGGGGGCCTTGGAAGGAGGAGAAAGAGTCAAAATCAAGATACACTGTAGAATCTATGAGGCATGCTAATGACTAGATGTGAGATAGAGAAAAAGAGAAGATGCTAGAATTTTGGCCTGGGCACCCAAGTGAGTTTTAGTGCCATTTAATGATATGGGAAAGACCAGAAAGGGAGATCTGAAGTGATACAGGATGGGGTGGACATAGTAAATTTGAGATGCCAATTAGACATACAAGTGAAAATGTCAAGTAGGAAGATGCATATACCCCCTGGAGCCCAGGGAGAGGTTCTGACTCTACAGTGTGGTGGTTAAAAGAATACCCTGTAAAATTAGACTCACTGTGCTCAAATCCATGCTGTCACTTACTGCTGTGTGCCCTTGGGCAAGTTACTCAACCTCTCTGTGCCCAGGACACTTCATTTGCAAAACGAGGTGTTGAAAGTACTAAAGGAAATAGTACTTGCAATTTATGCCTGCCACATGAAAAATACTCAAATGTAGCTATTATTGCTAAAGTTTTCTCTGTTAGTAGTAGCTTAGAGAAAGTACTAAAGGCTGTAAACTGGATGGGATCACTGAGGAAATCAGTACAGATAAAGAAAAGGTTGAGGACACTTAACGTTCAGATAAGGAAGAGCAAAGGAAGGCGCCACAAACAAAGTAGGAAAGGGCAAGGACATTGTGGTGTCCAGGAAGAGAAGGAGCATTTCAAGGGGGTGAAAAGTGTGTCAAATGAGGTTTAGTAAAATCAGGCCTGATCAGGACCTGCTACATAATTTGCAGGGCCTAGTGCAAAATGTAAACGTGAGGCTCTTATAGGAAAATAATTAAGAATTGCAGGACAATGATAGCATAGCATTAAACTAAGCATGGAGCCCTGTGCAACTGTGTAGGAGGTATGCCCACAAAGCTGGCCCTGGGCCCAAATGAGAGGACGTTCCAGCTGGGCTTCCTGGGCCAAGTAGGGGCTCAGAAAGCTGTGAAACTCACTCATTTCCTGCATCAGGACTTACTTTGGTCCTGGATGAATAATAATATTGAAGATATATGCATAGAATATTCCTAACATCAGAATTAGTACATGTGTTTTCTTCCCCAAGAAAGTGGGATCAAAGCCAGAAAGGCATGGACTCAGAAGAAAATAGGAGAGAGTTTATATATATCATAGAATATATATGACCCCCAAGGCCGCAGATCACTTCAGCCCAGAAGTTTGAGACCAGCTGGGCAATGTCTCGAAACCCTGTCTCTACAAAAAA